CACTTTCACTTGCTCGCTTTGACCGGGTCTAATGATTTCGGTGGGCAACATTACAACGGTGTTCTTGGCCAACAGACTCGTAGGTGAAGACGTTTTTACGTCGATTTTCTTCATTTTGTCTTGTATATCATCAGTGCTATAACTCCGAAATCTATCTTTTTCCTTTCTCGCTCGGGTCCCCGAAGAATCGTTCCTTTTCTTTGATTCCATGAGTTTCCTTTCGAATATGGAAAATCAGAATGTAAAACCGTTATGCTTCGTCACATATGTTCCGATAAAGACCCCATAGTCTATCTGGTTGAGTTCTGCCACATACAAAAGAATTACAAAGCAAATAATTATTTTTACGAAATGATCATTTCGTGAAAAATTAATAATTAATAATTAATAATTTAATAATTTGTTAAGACGCTATCGTAATAATTACGATATTTTTACATTTACACCCGAAATTATAACCGAATAGTTATTACAATGAATTTTTACATATTAAAAATGTCAATTAATTGCGATTTTAAAAATATCACAATTTTATATTTTGGAAATTAAAACAAACGAAATCTGGATGTTACATGTGTAATTCTTTATATCTAAATATTATTCGCAAAATGTCAAATACAAATATAAAACATTATTCTATTAATTATATTTTTAGGTATTATGAAATATTTCGAAAACAGATAAAATATTCTGAAAATATTAAAAATGTAATTAAACATTGCTAAATTAGATGAATTGCAGTTCTTATTCTTTTGGTAAATCAAATTTTTTGTTACACATTCATTGTCAAACATATCATGACACTTAAAATCGAAAACTCATAAAGACTTGTATATTATCACATTACACACGAATCATCATCGTGAAACGCCACCATCGTCATCCACTTGCATTGCATGGTTCACAAATTTAGAAAGCGAGACGTCTTAAGACACGACTCATGCATTTGCTCTCAATTGTTTTCTCCACACACTTTCTCCACACAATTTTGGTTGCCCTTTGCGATATATAAATGCGTTAACATAACACAAAACTTAAATTTAATATCGAATCGTAATATCGAATTTAGCGAATTGTCAAAATTAGAAAATAGAATTTCAAAACATCTTAATATTTAGATAAAAAATTATAAATGCCATTAATTTTATTTGTGTCTAAAAAAAAATAAATATATTAATTATGTAAATAATTATGTAAATATAATAATTATGTAAAAAAATAAATATATTAATTATGTAAATATTTATCTTAAATCCATAAATCTCAGCATTTCCTATATTCCTAAAATTTTAATATCTAAAATAGAATGGAATCTTTATTATGAATGAATCTTTATTATGAATTGTTTTGAATTTTAAGATATTTTTAAATAATTTTCAACAAATATAATCGTACTTTTTTCGTTTAGAAAAAAATAAACATTGAAAATAAATAAAAAATATAACATCAATTAAATTCAACAATTATATTAAAAAATGTAATTTTTAGAGAAATAGTTTTTATTATAATTCTTAATCCTGCGTAATAACATAAAAAATGTTTTCTTTAAAAAATTATTTAATCTTTTGTTCAAATTATTACTCCAAAAATAAATAAAATATTTCACATCATAAAAAAAGTCATCATAACATCATAAGTAGTTAATTATCTTAACCGATACAGTAAAATAAAACAACAAGCATTTAACAAAGTTTGAGAAAATTTATAAGTATGCATCTCTTAATAATCTCTTTTTCTCATAAAAACTTGTGTAACTGGTATCAAGGCAAGCGCGAAGGAAGAAAAAAATTGTAAAGTATAATTAAAAGTAAGTATTCTAACGTTTACTTCCCGCATAGAGAAAGCGAACCCTCTCCTCCCCCCTCCCCCCCCGCTGTGCTTAAAGCTCAAGGAAACAAACAACATCCAAAATACCTTAATACCTTAATACCTTAAAACTGATTGAGAGCGCCGCGAGACTTCGATTTCGTTCGTGACGTATGAAAGCCCTCGCGGTATTCTCGCTGACACAGGAATAATAATAAAATTGCGCGGAGCATTAAACGCTGTTTGTTGAATGATTAGAAGTGGTCGCGACGCGACATTCGGCATTCCGCTACGGCTTCCAGGAGAGAGAGAGAGAGAGAGAGAGAGCGAGCTTAAGTGCGCTTTACCTCGTCTACAGGCGGCCTTCTGCCCTCGGACTACTCGGGGTCTTGATCGAAATATTAACCGTGAGAGTATCCCCCCCCCCGCATCATATTTATTTAAACGCTTATACCATCTACATTTAAAAGAGAATAGCTACGAGTTAAAAGGCGGAATGTTGTTAGATTAATTCTGCGGATAGTATTGATTTTGTTTAAACCCTCGTTATTTATGGACCTTTCAATACCAGTCTCACGATCGTGCCCTTATAAACACGTACCTTATATATCTTTTTTTTCCTCCCCCCCCCCCCCATAAGCAAGTGCTGTTTACACTAGAACAGGTCTTTCAACCAAGTTCAATCGTGGGCTCTCCTGACACGCGTGAATATGCGTCAAATGAAGTCATTTGCACTTGAAATATTTGCGTGATAATAAAAGACAAGCGCACGAAAATAGAAAATATTTTTAATATCTAAGAAAAAAAAGCGGGAGCTTATAGTTTCTTTTCCAAGAAAAGATCTTTTTCATTTTATTTAACATTTTATAAATTATTAACTTTTAGTATCAATAATTTTATTTCTTTAATACTTTATAAAATAACAATTAAATTAAGCTGTAATAAGAAGATTTAATTATTTATCGTAGATTGGAAATGTACTTTCATTTTCTACATTACAAAGTGCAAGTACAAAAGTTTCTTGATAATTTTTTTTTAAATAAAAAAAAAAATATATATATATATATATACTCGATGTAAGATCATCTTATCATCGTATCATCTTATTTTCTTATCGTATTATCGTATCATCTTATTTTTTTTTATCAATAAATATACAAAACAAATAATTATTGATAAATCGATGATAAATAATTTCATTATTGGAAATCCAATTATAATCATATTCTTCTCTTATCTCTCTGATTTTATCTTTATATATATAAAATATATTAATGCTACAACATATATAAAATATTTAACGATGCACATATGACAATCTCAACTCGATATATTCTTCGACTCTCACTTTTCTGGTAGAAAAAAAAGTGTTTCTCACGATGACTATTCTTGGGAATTATTAACGAGTAAATGTAAAAATCATTTTCGCCCGATTGTAACATCGAAACTCACCAAAATGATATTTATTTCAACCCTTGTTCGTGACATATCCGAAATGTACGAACTAAGTATCCCGAATTTAGATTATTTCCTCCAGCGGTC